ATGGATGCGCCTGTCTTTCGAAATTTTCATGCAGCTACTATTATGATATTAAATTGGTATTGGAGTTTTTTTTTTTTTTTTTTTTCCTTAATCAACGAGTGGCATTGGTGCGTTGACGGTCCGCGAAAGTTTTTCTCTCGTGGCTAAAGAGTTCTCAAGGTCGCGTTGTTGAACACTTTCGTGGAAACGTATGAGCACGCGTTTACACGCATAACATTACTTTTCGAATTATCATATTGTTATTATTTGAATGAAATTAATTTCATGACAAATTATTTAAAATTAAAGTGAAAATGTTATTTGACAATTATTATTATTAATTTTTTAAATCACAGAAATTAAGATTTTATGAAGAAAAAAAAAAAAAAAAAAAGGGAAAAAGATGAACTCGGAGGCTAAATATTCAGGAGGTGAGCAAGTTATTCCATGCATTAGGTATGCGCTAGTTTTTTATAAAAATGGCATTGCATCGGGATTTTTGTNCTGATATCGAAGGTAAAAAAATTAAAAAAAGTAAAAAAAAAATAATAATAAATAATACACGGAAATTACACTCTCCGTCGCGCACGAGTTGCACCTTTGAAAACAAGCCACGCGTGCACGCCACGCACACCATTTTACTTGTACGTTAGGGTAGAGATATCTGATCTAGGCCATACGTGTATGTTTATAATATACGTTTGACGAATTCGAGCGAATTGACCGACTCGCGAATAATTTTCTTTTTTTTTTTCAACAATAAAACAATTTTAAAAAATTAAAAAAAAATTTTAAAAAAATACATACCTTATGAATAAATATGTGACGGCTATTATCAAATGCACATGCTCCCTTAGATATGATCTTTATTTTTTTTTTTCTCAAATCTTCGTTTTTCCCTTATAATTCCTTGAACATGAAACATTGAATGAAACATTTTTCTACTATGGCTATTGATTTATTATTATTGTTATTTTTTTTTGTTTGTTAGAAAAAGAGGAAAAACGAAGATCGATTATATTACAATTAGTTATTATCTTACATTTATGTATTTATTAGTACGTTTGTCTTTTTCTTTTTGAGAGGAGTATGTTGTAATCGATTTTAATCTTACGTTATTATTGTTATTATTATTATTATTATCTTTGTTATGATCTGGTAAACGAAAAAGAAAAAAAAACAATTATTGAGAAAATTAAAACTAACGAACGACGTAAATATAAGCTATTTTAATCGAGATATATTTATATTTATACAAGTATGCATAATTATACGAACTCTTTTCAAGAAATCTGGTAGAACCTACGATAGACTTTAATTTTAATAAATATCACGTGGAGAGGCGCGTGGGATGCAATTTTCGTTTTTTTAGCTCGTACAAATACGATTATTCACAATTTTTAAGATTATTTATCCATAAATGTATCCATTAAAAGACTATTAATTTAAGCCGAAAGGAAAAAAAGATGGATTTTTTTGGTATAAAAAATTTATGTATTTGAACGATCGATAATTGGCTCGCATCGAAAAATCACGCTGAAGAGACTGAATAAAAAAAAAAATTTAAGCCAATATTCGCTTCGATTTGGAGATGCGAAGATTATCGATTTTCGGAATAATATGTACAAATATTTTTTCACACTCACAACCATCACCTTTTTTTCTTTCTCATTTTACCACGTGACAACATACTGTTTCTGTCCTCTGTAAAAAAAAAAAAAAAAAAAAAAAAAAAAAACAAAANACAATAGTTAATTTCATCGGATGAGGGCTAATTTTGTAGTTTCAAGTGCTATCCAGGGTAAAAAAACAATTACTTATCCCACGGAGGAAAATGACCATAGCTCAGAACAATAACTTTGGTCCAAAAAAAAAAAAAAAAAAAAAAAAAATTATACGACTTGCCGATTTTTTCTTCTATATCCGCCATCCCGACTAGACTGTCCGTAAGTTCTACGGGATTTTTTCTACAGGGCACTTTAGATTATATTTACGTTATCGAACCGAGAGTGTATAATAACACAAATATGTTGCATATACACAATTCCAGGCTCGCGCACTTCCCGATTTTCGAAGGGGAAATCACACAGAGCCTCGCGATTTTCTACTAAATCGACGAAGACGAAGCGAAGAGAAGGAACGCACTCACAACATTATAAACTCGCCCCACGTACTTTTTCTTCAGCCAATACACAAACACGAATACGCAGCCGTTTCTTTTCTTCTACCACACGCGCGCATACATGCGTACACATAAACCACACACACACACACACACACACACACACACACACACACACATACACGATTTTATTTTTACGTTTCACTATAATAATTATTAACGTCCTGTCCGAGTTATTGTATATCCATCGGTTAAATTTATTTTTATCATTATTAGGTAATTTACTTATACAGCTACTTACTGCACAATCGATACAAGCTAAGATAGAGCGAGACGGGCCCGTTGAGTTTTCTCGATCCAACTGTTTTTCAGTCAACAAAGGGAGGATCCGGAACCCCAACGTTCGTCGCTTTCTCGCGCGTATTAAAAGAAAATATGCGTAAGAGTCGCGTCGGATGTTGAAGATTCACGTGTTCATTCCCGAGTGAAGGAAAAAAAAAACGCGACGAGGAGTCGGGAGAGTCCCGTTGGCGCGTCCTGCGGTGTTCATCGATTATGAATATCTTTTTTTTTTTCTTTTTTTTTTTTTTTTCGTTTCTAACGGTCGTAAACGCGATCGGAATCGATGCAGCTGTGTTGCACCGGTTAAACAGGGAGCCAAGCGCGTGGGTGACTCTCTCGGCGAGCTATTGTCGACGTTGAGGTTGGCTGGAACAACGGCGGACTGGATTTCGCAAGCTCGAAAGCTCGGCTTTGCTCAATGCGGCGTTATTACGATTTACCACTACTATATACATTACACACCTAGCTCATAACTTTCTCTGTACGTATAGCACATCTCTCATCCAAGGATCGTAATTTATCATGTAACTACGACTAAGAATGATTTATTTTAAATAAATATGACGATACAGACAAAAAAAAAAAAAATTGAAAAAAAAAAAGAGAAAAAACGTAAAATTGTGTTTGCTTTATTTCATTCGAGTGTCCTTTGTATCCTTGAATTATATAATCCTTATCATTAATTATTTTTTGTACAAATAACAAGGGGCGAAGAGAAGAAAAAAATAGATGTGGTGTAAAACACTAATTTCATATATTTATAGCAACAACTGTACAAGTTTCAGTCACACATAATAATAATAATATTTACTTAATAATAATTAACCTTAGCTTATATCGACAACGTCGTCGTTCGCTTGCTGCCATGTATTTTTTTTTTCTTCATTCCCACTTTTTTTTCTCGTTCGATTCGTTACGTAACTATTCCACGCATCAAATTTTTTTATTTGGATTCGCACTGAGAGAAGCTCGTAAACGCACGTCGATAAACATATTATTTCGTATATTTGGCACTTTGGACGTGAATCATTTTGGTTGTCGGAGTAAGTGACTTTTTTTTGTTCATATTTAGCAATTAAGTGCGCGAGTTAAAATTCATAGTGCTAATACCAGTTGTGAAAATACATACTAATACAGCTTAAAACATTTTTCTGCTAATATTTTGAAGAAAGTTCTTATGGTTTGGTGAAAATGATAAATATCTCAGGGTATGGTAAAACGAGATGGAATACAATAATTTAAGACTCATAAAAGCACTGCAATAACTCTGTCGTAAATTTTACCAACTAACTGATATTTTCGTGGTATTTTTATTTTTTGGCTTTTTAAGATATTTTAGTATACACTTTCTACATATATTACGTTTATCACTATCCTTATCTGTTATTTTACATGCACCATGGATGGAACGTTGATTCTAGATAATTAAAAAAATAGATTTTTCAATAATAAACATTTTCGTGAAAAATGGAATTACTCATTTTCAAATTATACAGATACCACATACGTAACTGATTATTGTATTTTTGCTTCAAAAACTCGATGCAATAAACTTTACGTATAGCTAAATAAATTCGATTTAGTCAATTTACATCATCCCTCAACTTCTCCATGAGTGAACAAAGTTTATCAACATGTTTGAAAATAACAAGAAAAAAATTAATTATTTAACTAATCAAAGAGTTAAAATTCGTAAATTATCAATAATATAAGTACCCTAAGTACACGTGATACGATTGAAGTAAGAAATATAATTGAAATTGGAGAACAGATGTATTTTTTTTCTCAGCACGAATCCACACACAATTTACTCAATGACGGATGAACAACTTGATTATCTATATATTATATGTACAATCTTGCGTTTTCCTTAAAATCTCACAGGGACAGATACTTCAAAGTGACTGAGTGTACATACGTAAATCTTCACTTTAACTAATCATCCTTAAAACGAATAATTACATTTCTGACAAATTGTAATTGTACATTGTCGAAGTACCGTTCTCTCGCAGGAGTCTGGGAGTATACATTACATAATACGCGCGTGTTTTTTTTTTTTTTGTTTTTTTTTTTTTTTTTTTTTTTTGTGTTATGTATTTATATGACTTATAGTGCTCGTGTATGATAATAATAATACTCTTTTCAGAATAAAAAATATTCCGCCGACGACAAACCTCTTGGATGATTGCTAAGTTAATAATACTTGTTGAGCTCGAGTTCTTCGTTACCCTAATATCTTTCACTGTCCACCTTACGCTAAAAAAAAAAAAACTAAAAAAATAGAAAAAAAGAATAACAAAATGCTTACCAATAAGAGCGCAGTAAGTATAAGTAGTCCTTCGCCATTTTGCCCCAAATGCATGAAAGTTCTTACACAAATTACCCCTGGCTTCGGAAGAAAAACAACAATGTCCTTTCTCGCCTCTTGTCCCACTCGAAAAGAATAAGAAAAACAAAAAAAGGAAGACCAACCGAAAAATCCAGTAAAAATAGTACCAACAACAACAACAACAACAACAACAACAACAACAATAGCAACAACAACTGCCGAAATAATTCAGTAGAGGTTGGCAGTCTTGAGAGGCAGCGGGTCCAGCATGTAAGGAGCCAGCGCCGCGGGGAACGGCCGCGGACTGCACGAGCCCCAGGCACCGCCGGTGACGTTGAGTCTGCCGTTGGGCGAGTTGCCCGTGTCCTCCGTCGTCATGTGCAGGGGCTGCACGTGCTGCTGGTGGTGCTGATGGTGCTGGTGTTGTTGTTTCACATTTAGGAGGTTATGGCTGGCGACGGGCTTGATCTCGGTGCTGTTCGACGTCGGTGGTGTGGCCGTTGGACTGCGTGGCGAGCGACCCTCGGCCTTGACGCTGCTCGAGAGTGGGCTTGGCGCGCCCCGCGATTGGTGGCCACTGGCTGCGGCTCCGGGTGTCAGATCCCCCGTTGAGTTGCTCGAGCCGTGCGACGAGCTCGTCTTCTGCTGGGCCAGGCGCTCCTGCTTGCGGAACTTGGCTCGTCGATTCTGGAACCAGACCTTTCACGGACAAACGAAGATACACAGGTCATTTTTTGTTGTGTAACCAAAATATGCATATGTTTTTTATTCGTACGAAATGTGTATACAATTTATAAATCAAGTCTTGACGACCTGCGGAGGAAAAGACTCGTAATCCAGTAGAACATTGATTCGATTCCGCTGGTTCCGAGTTCCTAACACGACCGCCCTAAAAAAAAACCCCCTGTCACATATATTTGGCCACAGGGTTAACAGAGCTATAATTTTACTCGTCAGACGATTCAGTGTGTTGCAAAATTGTGGGTACAGGTGGCGATCGATCGAACTCCAAACAAATACAAACATAAATAGAAAAACTCGATAAAAGAGTTTATTCATGGCTAAAAAGTACACGGTATGGAAGAAGGGAGAACAATTTGCATCAGAGATAGCGTCCACGTGTTCCGTTTTGTTTCCAGAATCTCACAACCAAACCGGCGTTCCATTGCTCCATTTTTCGGGTATTCCCCTTTTTCTGTACCTAAACTCCAGTCCCTCGAAAAAAAAAAAAAAAAAGTATGGATAAATATATATAAAAACGAAAAGGGTGGGGTGGGGGGTAAAAGCGGTGCTATTCGTTCTTTCTCTCGTTATCGCGAACGACCGGCCCGAAACCCTCTCTTCCGTCTGACCTGACCCACCCTCTTTGCAATCGTACCGGAGGGAAAAGGGGTGTAATTGGGCGAGTGCGCGTCCAGCAAATGAAATATTTAACAAATAAAACAAACGAAACATCCGGCAGCGGCAGCAGTTCTCTCTCTCTCTCTCTCTCTCTACGCTGACCTGCATGTTAAAGCGGAGGGTTTGTATGTGTGCGTGCGTGTGTTTGCTTTAACCGTTTGTCTGGCCGTTGGTTGGTCCGCTTCACTTTGTTTTGCTTGCTCTCTCTCTCTCTCTCTCTCTCTCTCTCTCTGGCCCGTTCCGTTCCCTCTCTCCTTCCCATATAACTCTGCGTGTACATGTCCGCATGCGTGTATGCCAGACGGAACCGGTTACTTTTCCGTCCTTTATTTTCACCTTGCCTGCTCCCGAGCTTTTTTTTCAAGAGAAACTGGATTATATACAGGTACATGCCCAAGCGTCTGTTCGCTCTCCCGATCTTTATGGCTTCATTTTACCCATATATACCTGTATGTATTTCGTATAATGAAAAACAAGAGCATTTAATCGCGCTTGTATATATTTTTGTATAAAATATAAAATATATATATATATATATATCACGCATTTCTCGCTCGCGATATCGTTGCGCCGTGACAGTTCAAGTCAACAGCTACAAAAAATCCCTGATGCTTCGTTCATTACTTACTAAATGTATACTCATGCCTATACATGAAGCCTTTGCGCACGATGTTCCCAATAAATTTTGCAAACTGCACTACCGCGTGTTTTTCCCCTCTGCTCGGGGAGGCCCGCGCCTGCCAGAGTAAGGTGTTCTATTTCGGAACGGCGTCGAGATTATTTTAGCGGAAAAACGCGTATGCGTGCACAGGTTATTAAAACGCGCCACAGGTTTAAAAATAAGATTTAGAGCAGCAGTGGAAGAAGAAGAAGAAGAAGAAGAAAAAAAAAAAGTAGTAGTAAAAACGGCGATTGTTCCAAAGAGCCCGCGTCCGGTCCAGCATCTTTCGAAAGAGAGAGAAGTTGGGGGGGTTGGCTGGTCTCGAAATAGGCGTAATATCTCCACAGAAGCGCCGGTGTAAAAGTGATTCCGTCCTCGCTTATATTACATATTTATATGTGTGTGTGTCGCGAAACGAATTTCACAACGCGATACTGCGTATAATTATAGAACACGCCGTGTAATGTCTGGACAGCGCGGGGGGGGGGGAAATGTTGGCACGGTTCGTGGTACGTGCGCGGGTGACGACGCCGTTATGCAAACTTATTTTGGCGAGGATGATATAACTGCTTTTGTGCACGTGTATAGGTACGTTTTATTGATGATGAATGAACAATGTCAACGGCGATTTTGCAAACGTCGTTGTTTTGACTAAAGTATCATTGGTTTTCGTGAATTTGGCTGAGGTCCTTTCTTCTTTTTTTTAAGAACTTGGTAATATTCGTTGGTAATGATTCGTGTCTTGAAAAAATAAATCACTTTTCGAAATACTCCCGGCGCACTTTTACGCTCCAAGAGGCCACTGTCCCGTGTAATTGGCATAGCCACGAAAATATACGTGGCTACACGCGAGGGATCTAAAAATCATCCTCCATAGGTATGGCGCGATCTACCCACACCGACGTCCATCGTGTATTTATAGCGTCGTAACCCCCTACCCAAGGCGGGTTTTTTATTAATTTTTTTTTAATTTTTAATTTTTGAAAAATGTTTTTTCTCCCTCCCCCCTTCCTGTCCTACTCGAAATTAAGAGCACCGGGCGAGGCTCGCTGGGCGAAATTGATGCCACCGTGCGCGCGGCTAAAATTACATGGAGCTCCGCGCGATCCGATGGGGTCAGCCGAGAAGAAGGGGGCCAGCGGTGAGAGAGTCGCAAAAGGCGTGGTGCCAAAAGATGTGGTGGTCCGAGCTCGTTTCGACACTGCGCGTGGATTGGGCCGAAGGAATAAATCGACCGCGGCTGAAAAACAAAATTGCAACCAAAAGGCTCTTGTGACGATGTCGCGAGCGAGAAATAAAAAGCACAACATACACGAATCACGTAACCGATGGTGTCCTTCCGTACACGTAAAGAAGTAAAACAAATATACCAAACGCCTCTCCGAGGCAGTCGATGTAGTCATTGCCTGCATTTGTGTGATTAGGCCTTCCATAAGCAATGCTTCAAGTGCAAAATCTGCCAGCGGACCCTGGACTCCAGCTTGCATTGCGATGGTCCCGATCGCGAAATTTATTGCAGAGGTACAAGCTTGTGACAACCTCTTTGTGTTAACCAGCCAATGGGTTTTTTTTTTATTTTTTTTTTATTTTTTTCTTTTCCTTTTTGAGATTAAAGAAACCCTCCCTTCTTCCCAAATAAAAAACAATCTCTTTCATCGTACATTAATAAAAACAAAAGAAAAAAATCGTCTCCCTTCGAGCCAAGTTTTTTGTCCTTCCAACTCGCCACGTGTGCTCCCAAAGTGTATAATACAAACTTGTGTCTAACTCTATGTTAAAAATCTTAAAAAAGCAACCAAAAACAGATAAAAAGGAAAGAAACCCTTGTTTACCCGAATCGATTTTATTTGCATCGAAACCCACTGTGCCGACAAACTCCATCAAAAGGTCTTTAGTTGCGAATAAATAAAAAAAAAAAAGAAAAACCACTTTCAAACCAATCAGTGCCCACATGGTGATTTGCACAAATTCAACAAACAAGATTACCCTAACGAAACAACGTAGGCGTTGAAAAAAAAAAAAAAAAGGACACTCTCGACCGGGAAATCGCCAAGTGCACTACGAAAAACAAGTCATGCTCCGAACTACGTAAAAACACAACACAAACACATGCTCGACAATCGCGTCCCGTCAAGTTTCAGAAC